GCCGCAGCCCGTCCCAGTCGACGAGCGGTACCACACAGAGCGCCAGTTGCGTGAAGTGCTCCCAGAGCAGCTGCCGGTTCATGAACTGGAAATTGATGTTCCGGGCAGCCCCCCCCGAGGAGGGGCCGTAGACGAGGCGCATGCCCACTAAGCGCTGCAGTAGGGAGGGGTAGCTGCCCACACGCAAGAAAACCAGAAAATTGATTAGCCATGCTAGGCGGAAAAGGCTTTCGGCCCTGGTGAGGGCGCGATAAGCCCGGCGCTTCCACTGCCCTCCCCCTCGAGTGCCGCTGCTCCTCTCTCCTTGACCTCTTGCCTGGGCGTCCGATGTGTGAGATATAAGAGGCTGTGGGTGCTGCACCTCGTCTGCCCACCCCGCCACGAGTGCGTGCCGTCGAAGCCTCGCGAAGCCCCACTGTCCCGCGATGCACAAAAATCCCAGGAGGAGGCGCTGGCTCACCCGGGGAGCGTGAGCATCGACTGAGGAGGCAGCGGAGGAGACTGATGTCCCGATTGCGTGGCCATCCACGAAGCGGAGATTTTGCATGCGCATGCCGGGAGTCGGTTCGTTTTGGAAGATGGTGAATCGGAAGAGAAGGAAATCAAGCAATGCTTTGAGCTCGGGCTTGTACTTGTCCACAACGCCAGGGGCAAAAAAGGGCGGGGCAAACATGCTGCACAATTGGATTTGAAGTAGGTCGAGGAGCTCGGTGTCGAGCACACGAGCATCCACCTGGTTGACTTTCATGACCCCGCTGCTTGCAGTGTCCAGGCCCCAACCCCCGCCTGGCTTCCCTCGGGCAGACTCCACACTTGCCCCTGGATGATGCTCAGAATATAGCGCTACGGGTGTTTGTAATGGATCTGCGGGTATCACGATCGTATTCTCTGGTCGGTGGGCAGAGGGGGGAGGAGAAGGAGGAAGTAGTGCCGGGGAGGTTTGTTGGGAGGAGGAAGGGGGGGAGGACGGGAGGGAGGAAGTGCGAGTGGTCGTAGGCGTGTCGACCATGACAACACCTGTGCGCATGAGCGTGAGATATTATTCTATACCATTCATCGAGCTCAATTCCCTTGGGGCACGGTGGACGCAACGCTTCAAGATGACACTGGCACTCAGGGTGCGCTACCAAGCTCTCTGCCGATATTTTGGCGGTTTAAGAGAAATCGAGTAATCGGCCCCACTAATTGGAAATCCCTCTTCAATCCCACTGGACGAAGCAAAATGTCACAGCGAGCGATAAATTCACTCAAAGGCACTCCTTCCAGCCTCGCCTGCCCCCCCTTTCGCTGTGGGTAGCGTGTCATCGCCCCTCTCTCTGGTCGCTCGCTCATGCGCCTCCTCTGTGGAGGAAGATCAATAGAAGTCACAGTCCCTACATATCTCTCAAGTCTCTTTTTGTTCTCACGTATGTACCGGTATTTCAGGTCTACGTCCTCTTAACATCAGTGCCAGGGGGTCGTCTGCTGGACGGTGGAGGGAGGAAAGCCCAAGCTTCTCCCGCGGCCCAGTCAAGCTCTGTTGTTGAGAGGGTGGCAATTTTGGCGTACCCACAGGGCATCCACTCGGGATTGAGGCTGGCCTGTGTTCCTTTCAATCATGCCACACGCAGTCAAAGCCCTTTGTCGTGCGGCGCGGCAAGGAGATGTAGCGCGCACCGTGTTAATTCTGGAACAATTTCCCGAAACACTGAACGAACGAAATCCAGACGGTCGCACTGCACTGATTGTTGCGGTTCGGCACGGCCAATTGGCAATAGTAGAGCTCTTGCTCAGGCGCGGCGCTAAAGTTAACAGGGCATCGCACCGCTCAGGAGCTACGCCTGTGTGGCACTGTGCGTGGAAGGGCGAGGAAGCGATCTTGCGTCTCCTGCTAAAGCACGGGGCAGACCCCAGCACGGAAGCCACGGACTGTGGAACCCCTCTCATGGTGGCCAGCCAGTACGGCCACCTCGAGTGCGCGCGCGTCCTCCTCGACCAAGGCCCGTGTGCAGCCAAACGGGTGGCCCCCCAGGCTGCCTCGGATGCCTCCTCGGTCCTGAAGCCCCCCGCTCAGGCCCGGGCAGCCCCAGCCTCTCGCCCCCACCCTCCCTGGACCCTGGATATCGACTACGCGCAGAGCAACTACAAATGCACGGCCCTATGGTGGGCTTGTCGCTCGGATCGTGAAGACGTGGTGCGGCTCCTGCTCTCGCGCGGGGCCGACTTCACACTGCGGGACTGGAAGGGGCGGACGCCTTTGGAGATCGCGCTCGCCAAAAACCACCCCGGCTGCGTCCTGGCCGTACAGGAAGCGTACCGGGCCTTGGCCCTCTTCAAATACCGGACCCTGCACGACGCCGAGCAATGCCTGCTGCGGCTGCCACTGTCCCGCACGCGGGGGTCCACCCTGCAGACGCGAGTCTCATGCGTCCCTGCCTGCCTCCGGGCCCGCCTCTTCCGGCCTCCTCGGCGGACGCAGTACGAGGATCTGGAGCAACGTGAGCAGCAAGAACTGCAGCTGTTCATGCAGCATATGCAGCATCGACCGCCCCGACCTGAGCAGCCTCCGACAGGAAAGGAGGAGGATCAACCGCAAAAGGCGGTGGAGGGACAGGTGGAGACGAGGAGGGACAGTGATCCAAAGGGCGTTGATAGAGGGGAACACCCGCAAGAAAAGAAGGAAGGAATAATTTGGGGCGGGGCG